AGTGCTCCATATATGAGCTAATTGACCAAGAAATTCCACATTTTCTCTGATAAGAAAACTGAGGCTCAGAATGATTTATTAATACATTGGGTTTCATAGGAGTTGAGCAATTGTTATAAAACTTCCTGTTTGCAGTCTCAGAATTTCAGTGACCCAAGCTGTAGTAATGGTGAGGAAGGTATCCTGATGATTACACCTCACTGTCATTAAGACCAAGCCTGAGCTAATACTCACAAGAACATTCAACTGGTAGGAAATAAATTAATTGGGTTATATTTACTGATCATTCTCACATATGTTATTTCTTTGTTTATTTGAAGTTCCTATTAGGAAGAAAATACACAAACTTGAATTTCACAAGTGTGAATTAATAAGCATGATAGCTACTCCCTCCCTCTACTGGGAATTGAACACTCAAGGCCTTTGCAGTGAGCTACATCCTAAGCCCTTTTTTATTTTGAGATGAAGTCTTATTAAGTTTTTTAATTGCCTGGGCTGGGATTGAACTCGCAATCTTTCTCCCTGAGGCTCCCAGGGTTCTGGGATTACGGTGTGAACAGTGTGGTGTTTCTTTAGCAAAAACAAAGCTTTATCTGCTTTCAGTCATTGTTCTTAGTGAGCATGGAGTCTGGGTCAAGGAATGTTAAATTTTTATGCCACAAATGCACACTGAACAATTAATTCATGAATTCAATAATAATTATTACCTGTTTCTTTTCAAAATCTAAATCATGTACATAATAAACTCTATTATTAGGCTTAGTAAAAATATGGGATTATTTAGGCAAGCCAATATTCTGATAGACTTGTCACATTTCTATACATGTTTCACCAATTTTTAATGAATCTAAAAACAGTAACATATATTTAACACTAAAAGTTTGACGCACACAATTTAATTTTATTTTTGGTAATTCTAAAGCCATTTGAGATTTGAGTGATGATCCACGCATCACAAATGTGCAGAGATAACAGTTACTAGAGAATGACAGATAAAGCCAGTTTTAGTCTGGATCTATCTATGATTATGATGTACACAGTCACCCATATCTGCATACATTAACTCTATTGAATGTAAATATGAGAGCTGTTGTAAAAATTGGCAGCTGGAGTGCAGGAAGGAGTTCATTGATTAAAATAAGATTGGATGGGTAGAAAGATTGACATTTAAGTAAAAATAAAATATACTACATTAGGTATATAATCTGATGGATGTTGAAATCTGTATATATATCCATGCAACTGACATATTGTTCCAAGACAGAACATTTTCAAAGCAAGGGTTATCTGGTGTGACCATTAATCCTAATATGACAACTCCATGGATGGAAGAAACACTTAGCAGATTAACAGAGCACCCTTCTGGGCATGTCTGGATGGGGGTGTGGCTTGGGTACTGTGAATGGTCCCTCACAGCACGATTCCTTTGCTCTGTTTCTCAGCTACCATAAACTAAGCCACTTTGCTCTGCCATGTCCTTTTGCCATGATGTTTGTGGCTTGGAGCTTGCTGACCATGGACTGACTCTCTTGAAAGCATGAGCTGAATTAAGCCTTCCCTCCTTTAAGTTACACGTGCTGGGTGTGTGTCTCAGCAATAGGAAAGATAACTAGTACACCTGGGAAAGGTTTTTTGTAGTTTGGGCTTTCCCAGAAAGTGTGTTCAACTTCCTGACAGGGATCGTGGGTGCTGGATCCTGGGGTGGCTTCACCCTCTTCTCATTGCCATAACTTCTAGCAGCCTTCATTGCCAAGCATGGCTCCTTTCTTCGCTGATCCCACCCCGTACAATTTGGGGTAGATACAAGGTGAATTTTTCAGTGTTCCAGAAAGGGGATATTTCCATCTTTTTCTTCCAGGGGGTGGCTGTTGGCTTCAAATGATCCTTCCTCATAATGAACACACACAATGAACACACAGAATCCTCTTCCACTCCCATCAGAACCACTTCAGAAAACTTTGTTCATAAGTCTCCCCAACACCTTCCTGAGTCATAACAAAAAGCAAGGCATAAGCTTTGCTTTTATAGATGGAAATCTTGAAGCAAAGTGTAGTTCAATGGCTTCCTGGCCAATGAATCTGATACCAACACAGAATTATTTTGACTCAGTTCATACTATGGTTTTGAGTATGTTTTTCCCCTCCACCAGGAGGTAAAATATGGTGGAGTTGAGGAAGGAGTTATGTTTTTAAACCTCACAATTCTTCCTTTCCTATTTGAGGGTCTACTCAGGAGTCCAGATATGAGGAAGTGAAAGCTGAGAGCAAAATGCCCCAGGAAGAGACACTAGTAGATTTGGTATGCAAAGCCTTAGGTCTTGGTGATGTTTTTGGAAATTAGGAACAAGGAAGAGAGAACAGATAGCCAAAAGTGACAAAAACTAGTCCAAATAGCACTTCTTCATAATTTTTACAGTTTTATCTTCATGCTTCTTACGTTTTGAAGTACAGTTCAAACTTCAGTAAATTAGTAGTTTAATACAAATACAGATTGATGCTTTCAGCTAAACTCAGCATTAAGAGCATAGTGGTGAAAAAGTTAAAAGAAGACACTGAATATTCTGGGAAGCCCTCTCTTTCCCCTCTAAATATTGTCTGTTGAGTTAGTTGATTTGCTTTGTTGAAATAGTCACATTTACTTGTTAGGGGAAATACGTATTTAGAGGTCTAGGAAATTACACAAAGGATTTTCCATACTTTCAGCAATGAGAAGTATAGCCCAGTGTGTTAAATTTGGTGAAAGGAATTGTGGGGCTGAGCAAGTCAGGAGACAAGGGCAAGGAGAAATGGTCCCACTCTTCAGCTGTTCCTATTGGCTGGCTCACAGTTTACCTCATCTCCTTAGCATAATGACTGTGCTGTGGGATTTGACAGTTGCAACATCTAATCTGCCTGAAAAGCTCTTTCTTGCTTCCACAAAGTTCCACTGTCCTCCAACCACAACTTTAATTACTAGTCTTCTCAAGAGAACCAGGAAGATGATATTCCACTCACTATGGTTCCATCCATTCAGCAATGAATGAACAATCAAGCTCTTTAAGGTTAACTCACCAAACAAGCACCAAACCCCAAAGCATGAGTAAAACGCTCATCATACAATCAAGCTGGGCACGCCACTCCTTTTTTGCTCCTTATGCAATATTTTACGCTCATACAAACCTTGACTAAAACTTTCTCTGATGTCTTCTTCTGACTCACAAGAACACGCATTTACTCCTCTCTCAATAATCAAGGGTTTTATTTGGCTGCAATTGTGGAAGAAGCATCATCAGGGTGACTTAGCAGCAGAATGATTTATTAGAAACAATTTTCTGTGAAGAAGGCATCCCTTATTCTCCTAAGAATTCATGTCTTTTGGTTGACTTTCTAACTGTATTATACTAAAGATTTTCTTCTTGCACCTGGGTGAAGACTGGGAGAGATAAGTGATGCAAAAGATTTGATGTTAGAAAGCAGATGAGACACACTTAAGCAACCAGGGGACCAAGTTTCTACCATCCAGAAACCTCTAATTAGGAAATCTGACACTTGTTTGGCTGTGTGTCCTTTGGTCTGCTGTTGAGTTTCATGATGAGGTCTGGCAGGACAAGGAAGAAGTTCATGTCATGCTGGTGGTGGGGCCAAGTCAGCTCAGGAAACAATGTGGACTTGAGCTATCACCTACTGACTTAACCTATCACAATTACCAAAAGCATTTATTTGAACTATCTAGATTAGCAGTTATGCTTATGGAACCAGGAAGGTAAAAAGTATAGCAAAGCCACCTATGTGGTTGGGGGTTGGTGACAGCCATCAATATATTTATTAAATGATTATGTGTTAGTCACTGTTTCAAAAAATATAAAATTACACTAAAATAAACAGTATAAGTTTATCTCATGCTGTCTTTAAACATGGAACAAAAACTGAGTTAAATTCATGACCACCATTATCTGTAAGGAGTAAAGATGGGATTTGAACCCTATCTGTCAACAAACCCATCAACTGTACTGTTCTGGATCAGTCTCATGTGACTGTGAACTTGGGGGACTTACAGTCCCAAACGCTGTGTTTTCTCCCCCTCTTTTTCTGAAGAGTCAGTTAAACTGTATTTTTTGAGAAAATTATGAATTTTTACACTGTTGGTGATATTTGTTTAAAATTTTTTTGAAAGAACCGGAACACTATAGGTCAATTGCATGTGGGCTGAATGTGGTCAGGGATTATTTCCTTTTCAACCAAGGCCATTCAGTTATTATTCAACCTGCAATTCTGTGTGAGTTGGGGGCAAATCTAGGCCAAGGAATTGCAAATGGCAACAGGAACCCATACCAATTCTATTTTGGGAAATGCCTTCAGAAGAAGCTTTGTTTTATTGTGTCATTCATAGGGTTTGCAAGTTTTATCAGAAACCTCTGGATAATGTAGATTAAGACTAGATTTATTAAGGAGCCTAGACTTGTACTGTAGTAATACAGAAAAAATACTCTCAAGTGGTGTAGTGTTGTGTAGTTCAACGTGAAATGACGTATTGCCTGCTTAATCCTCAGACTGAGGCATTTTCTGGCCATAAGAAGCTTCTCTCTTCAGTTTAATCTTGTGTCACAGACAGTGTGTGTGTGTGTGTGTGTGTGTGTGTGGCTTACTATATGTCGTAAAGTTTAAACAATCAGGAAGCATCGTTATGCTCTGTTTCTTATATTACATGAATTTCTCTGACCTAGTATCAAGCCTTCCTCTTTTTGATGAATGGGATATACACCCTTACACTAATCTTTTAAGTTTTCTGCTCTTCCCTTCATCAGATTATTCATGGATCTTTTCATTAATGACAAATTAGTACCTTATCCATTCCAGTTCTCTTTTTGACCTCCAATCTCTCATAGCAGTTTAGTTAAATTTTGATTTCAATTCATTCAATCATGATTTGTTATTTGTTTGGAAAGCTTCCTGGGAAGAGGGCATAGGGACTACTGGAGTGACCCACTTGTCCTATTCTGCCTGGAACATTCCCAATTTTAGCATCAGAAGTCTTGTGTCCCAGGAATCCCCGCAGACCTGAGAAAAACAGAATGGTTGATCACCTTAGACCCAGCACAAGTACAGTTGTCTGTCACAGGCAGAATGAAGACTCTTCTTCACACGGGTAAGTATGATGGACAGGAAGGTCAGAGATGGTGCTTGGTTTCATATGGGTAGGTAGGTGTAAGGGTGGGAAAAGGGAGGATTTCTTATAAAGTTACCTCAGCATTTCTACTAGGTAAGTATAAGGTCATCTGCTGAAAGGAAGGTGAGTGGTGGTGGAAGAATTATCACTCAAAGAATCCTAGTTCCCTCTTTGTTCTATCATAATTTGACAACAACTTATTTTAGGTGCATCTGTGCTTTGCCTAAATGTAATCTGTCCTTTCTGGGAAAATGGAAATTAACAAAAAAGATAACTACAAAATTTAAGTAATTATGTATTTAATTTTCAGAACTAAAAGGCACAGTCTGACGTTGTAGTCTGTGAAGATGAGGCACCATGACCATCGAAGTGCCTATCTCCGTAACTGCCCTTTTATAACCCCTGCCTCAGCCATCCTCCTGATCTCCCATCCATATTCTCAACAACACACTGAGCCTAACAGTCACTCAAAAGGAGGGAAATGTGCCTGTTAGGCAGGGGAAAAAAGTACTTCAAATCTGCACCATCCAAGGTTTCCAGACAAAGTCCTCTCTTCGCCTATCTACCTATGCATCTTCCTAGCAATTGATTGATCAATCATTGATATATAGATCTATAGATCTACAAAGAGATCTTTATGGGAATTGGTTCATACAATTATGCCGGCTGAGAAGCCCCACAGTGTGTCACCTGCAAGCTGGAGGAGCAGGAGAGTGGCAGAGGACATCAGTCTAAGGCCAAAGGCTGAGAAGCTGGGGAGCTATGGATGTGTCCCTGGAGTCCAAGGTCTGAGAGCCTGGAGCTCTGGTGTCCAGGAGAAAATGGATGTCTCAAGCAGACTGAATTTGAGCTGTGGCCTTAGAAAGCTCACTGGAGAACAAATGCCACCAGGCTAGGAGAAGAACCAAGGACAAGATGAGTGACACTCGATAGATGACCTTTGACAAATGCCCAACCTTTCTTCCTCGGTGCTTCCATATGCAAAGCTAAAGGGAGATCTATGGGAACTGAAAGATTCCTCATGCGTTCTAGAGCTCCAGCCCTTTCTGAGGAACCATGTGAGAAGAGAACAGTTACAGGAAGACTATCAGTAAATGTCAGAAGTCTTTGGTATGTGATATCAAGGAAATGGCCAGGGGTAACAAAAAATTCGGATTATAAATAGGATGGAACAAACCCCACAGCACTGAAGACCAGGCAACACCTCAAAATTATGCAACACAGGAAATTTCACAGCTCAGATAAGAAGCAAACCTCTCATTGGATGTTTTTATAACTTATAAAACATTGTCACCTAGAACAATAGCTTTCAGACTGAGAAGCACTTGAACATAATAATGTCCCATTTGATCCTGACACAATCTTGAGTGGCAGAAAGCATTGGTTCTACTGTCCCTATTTTATGGCTGAGAAAACTGAGTTTCCAAGTAATTAAGGTCATGGACTCTTTTTTCCTAAATCTCTACAATTTCTAGAGACAGTGGGGTCAGTGGAGTTTTACTGCTGAGCATCCATGTCAGAAGTAGGAGCCCTGGGTGGAAGGTGGTGGGACCCATGGAACACACTGTGCCCCACAGGCTGGAGTAGAGGCCTGTGGTTGTGGTTGGCCTGCTTGGGAAAGGGCATCCCTTGGCATCACCAAAGAGATGGCACAGTAGATTTGCAGGTAGCCTGCTGTCTGTGTGCTGACTCTGCTAGGACTGTGTCCTAATCTAGTCTCTTTCTAAATGTTCCAATGCCAGGTTTTGGCCTGGGAGGCTGTGGGGTACAAATAATAGGGGAGTCTATGAGGACTTGTGCTTTCTTGCTGTATGCTGTTATGTGCAGCTGGGTGTTACTGTACCATTTTTTGTTGCTGTTCAGAGATTTTTGTACCCTATGCATTATTATTTCAAAAATAGACCTGTAATATATTCTTGCATGCTTGAATTTAATTATGACCATTTTCACTGAAATGGATGTGGTTTTTTTATTTCTGGCCAGGCCAGATGAGAATCCCTAAAGATAGATTTTTGAGTGATGTCTAAGCCAATTTCTTTGATCTTTTTAATATTTATAACCAAGGAGCTCTTCTCTAGGATGGTGATTTATGACTTTGACATACTTTCCCTGGCATTCTCTGGGCACAAGGAAACATGTGGAACCTCACAGAAGTAACTGTTCTGAGGAATCCAGGTGGAGCCACACTGCCTCCTCCAATCTCACTAGCATCCCAGCAGGATTCGGAAAGGTCACATGTTTAGAATTCTAGGGCTGTCTTAGGATCACCCAGAACCCTACATAATCATTTCATAACTTGGAGGTTGTGGCAGGAGTAAACCATCCATACTGTGGCCTGCTCCTGTCTTATTTGACCGGTTCAGCTTCCAAGGACATTGTGGGCTCTGTATTTTGTGTCTCAGCAGGACTTAGAACAACAGCTCATATGCCATTCTGTCCTGCAGTGTTTCTGTTTAGCAACACCTCATCATCGTAATGCTGCTGCCTAAAGTACAAGAGAAGTTTCAGGAACACAAACAATAGCATATCTGTGCCCTCTGTTTGCCTCACTGTGACTCCCTTACCAGCTGCACCTGAGCAGGCAGAGCCCATGCCCTCTGCTCACCTGTGGGTACTCGCCCAACTGTGGGCTCGGACTTAATCATGCCACCAGAAGACCTTACCTCTTTGGTGTATGCTGTGGTTAGGAAAAGGATGCCTCTCTTTGGATTTGGAGCTCACTGCATTTAGGGTGGAATGTTTGGGTAGCACTGATGGTGGATGAGACTGCAGTATTCATTCATTCGTTTACATCTCTCTCCAGTCTTCTCTGACATAGAAACTGAGTGCCCATACTAGGCATCCAGTGGTCAGCATAGAAGATAATAGTTCAGAGGAGAGCTTCTGGTTCTGTGGAACAGCTCAAGGAACTTCATCTATTTCATCTTCAGTGGGTTAGTGACTGCCAACAGCCTGTTGCTGTTCAAGGGTCCTCACTAAATTTAGGAAGCTCTGGCCCTGTCCCCTCTTCTCTTTGGAGCCTGGACCTGGGTGGCCTTGAGTGAAGAGCAAGACCCTCCCAGAACCACTGTTCATGCTCCCTGGCTAAGTATTACACATGGGAGGAGCTTGGGCGTGGAGCACTCTGAAGGCTGTGTCACCCTGCACTCCAGCCACAGAGGTTTCATCACCAAAGGAAAGCTGAGCTGTGAGCTTGTTGCTAGGCGGTGCTGTTTATTTTTATAAACAAGCCTTGTGCTTAATTTAGAATTCTGCTTTTGCTTTTTCTTTCTTCTTTCCAGCATCATCTGGGTGTCTGGCACCATCAAAGATTTCTGACCCAACAAGAGCTTATGGGAGAGGGGAGGGGAGGAAGAAGGTTTGAGAGAGGATTGATGCCAGCCAGGCTGCCTCAAGAGGAGGTGGAACATGAGGCCATGCCATTAGCGTCCTGTTTGGCTTCGGCATGAGATTCATCTGTGACACCTACATCGTCCTTGCTTGGAACAGCAGGACAGAAAGCAGCCCTGGTGCTTGCTCCTGTGCTGACGAGCCCACACTGAAGTACAGCAGAACAGAAGGCAAGGCCACAGAAAAGAGGACCCAAGTCAGGAGCAGAAGCAGGTGACATCTGGACTCTCCATTCTTTGGAAACAGCTATTTTAATAGCTCCACTTTACTGCAGCTATTTTGACAGGGAGATATTTTTGTTTGGCCCCAAAATTTAGCTGAGAAATGATCAGCTTTTCAAAAAAGTGATAAATAAAGTGGATGTTTCATACTCCATCCATAAGTAACACCAAACTCTGATCTCACACCATTGTCAGTCCCACATGGGGCATGAAGGACATATAGATGGGGGCTGGTGAAATAAAGGGTTGGTAGAAAATGGGAGAAATATCAGGAACCGGTAATGCTCAGGAATGCAGTGTCAGGAATAAGGTGACCATCAGAATTAGGAGCAGTCAGGAGTACAGGAGGATTAGGAGGCCTCTAAAGTAAAAACAAGGTTAATCAAATATATAGGCAGGATAAGAGTCACAGATGGCAAGACAGGCAGAAAGTGGGTACATAAAGCACAGTGGGTATACACTTTGGCTCACCCTGTTTACAGGGTACTGTGTCAAAACAGTTGTGTCAGAACAGCTGCATGAAACTGTTTTTACACGAATAGTCCCATAGGGTCCAGAAGAGCTCATTTATCTTGGCTCTTCTACGGACAGTGTCTGATACATAAATGTCTACACATTTCATATTAGGAGCCATCTGAGCCTCAGTTGCCCATATAAAATGCAAAGGATTACTCCCCTGCTCCTTTCCTCGCCTTTTCCTCTACCTCCAGCAGCAAGATGAGGGGTGAGCAAGCAGCTCGTAAAACTATTCTGGGCCACCTGAGAAGGTGCTGTGTAAATGGTAAGTGTTGGTATAGATGAGTCCTCTGTGAGTCAAGGATTTCAGAGTTTGGCAAGTGTGGGTGTCCCTACTTGGTGATTCACGTGTCGTGGTGCCTTTGGCTGGAAAGGATGCCATGTGATGACTTTGTTCCTGCCTCTGAGGAGAACTGAGTTCTTAAGCAAATGCAGTATATTGAGGATCTTGGGCAAGGGGATTACATTTGAAAAGAGTTGGAAAGAACCCAACATTTCAGCCTGTAATCTAGTTTCATTCTACAACCACATGCAGCAGCATATTTGTGCCCAGTCATCAGCCTACAGAGAAACTTCTGAATTGTTTTCCCATTTGTCAAACTTGCCAAAGTCCTCTGGAGTTTCAGCGTTAAAGGTTGAGAGAAGAATGCCATACCAGATTCCAGTACTTTCTGTGTTGGCTGCTGTCTTTGTTACTTTTCTCATTTGCTCCCTACAAGTTAAGGGAGCAAAGGTTTACTTTGCTTCACAGTTTGTAGCGGTTTCAGCCCATAGTTGGCTGGCTTCAAGGCAGGGGGCATGGCAAAGGGGAAACAGTTCATGGCAAAGCAGCAGCAGTCATCCTCCTTTTCCTTTTATCCCATTCAGACTACAAGCCTTTTGGGTAGTGCCAGCCACACTCAGGGTGGGGCTTCCATTATCCACACACAGAACTATGCTAAACCAATCTAGTTATCACACACCCATGATCCAACCACCTCCCCAAGCCTTACCTATATTATCAGGGTATGAGGCTTAGGGAGGATATCTAGACACAAACCATACCGGTTGTTCTCACAGGGAGAGTTTTTGCATCACAAGATAAGCCCCCGCTGCTTTGGATAGAGTATCCTAGGACGATATGTGCAAGGAGGGAGCAGAACCAGGGCCTCCACTTCCAGCCCTCATGCTGAATCCACCTTGCAGCTCAGCAAATTCCTTTCCTGGAGTCCTCAGAGTGAAGATGAAGGACACACGTGCCTGCTACTCAGCAGCTCCAGCCACACTTCCGACTTCCACCCACTCCTGTTTTAAGAACCAAAGCACCACCTCCTCTGGCACAGTTCATCTTTGTTCTTACCGCCTATCCATTTTTCTTTGTTATTTCTCACCATGTCCCTGCCTTCAGATTTCTTATGAATTTCTTTCTCAGGCATCATGTTTAGATTCCCTCCTCACATTGACTTCCAAATGCCAAGAACGACTCTGTTCCGGCAGGATAGTATTTAGCTTTAAAGAGAGGACAAGCGGTAGCTTCTCTCCATTAGTATTCTTTGGGTTTATGTGGGAATCTATTTTGGGAACTGTGCAGCACTTCCCCAAGCCTCTCCCCCACCTACTGTCTGTCCCAGAGAGTCACTCTGTGTTCACTGTGTACAACTGGAGGATGATAAGAGCTTTTCTTTTTGAGCCTCTGCAGAAGAGCTCAACATCCCTCTTCCAGCATTTCTCCCTCAGGATGTATAGGCTGGGCCCACAGAGAATATTACAATGGCCATTGTTACCATATTTATGGACTTTAGAGGGACTTGAATATTATTCCTAGTATCTGATTATGTGATAAATCTGTAGTCCATTTTCAGAACAAGTAGTTTTCTTTTTAAACCCTTGGGCTTCATGTTCAGCCTTTATCATTTCCCATATTACTGACAAGTACACCTGGATTTAGCTAGAGGGGTCAGACCTAGCCAACACTTGCTTCTCTGTTGACATCACAGAGTTTAATGACACATACTAAGCACGGTTGCTGGTGCCCTCACTCCCCCTATTAATATTTTAAGGAAGTAGTATTGCTCCATCCAATATTTTGTATAGTGATTCAGAAATTTGCTGTTTAAGCAACGTAAGAGAGTAGGGGTTCTGGCCTATCCTAGGCAGCAAGAAATCCTGATGGGTGTGCCATCCCAAGAGGACTTCCTGTGTGGCTCCAGGTGGCCTGGTCCCAGCCTGGTCTGCCTGGACCTATTGCTAAGAAAAACTTAGATCAGAGGACATCCTGTGCTCCTAGGACAGAATGGTGGATGAAGCAACATAACTCCCATATATTAGCAGGGATCAGTGATGGCCCTAGCTTGGAGTGGAGGGAAGGAAGACTTTTAGAGGCAAGCAGCAAGACACCTACTTCCCTAAATACAATGTAAGTAGGCTCAGGCTGATCCTGGTCAGGCTCCGCAGTGTATCTTTTACTTGTGAAGTTGCTTCTAGGGACATGAATTAGTTCCTCTGAATGTCTGTTCAACTCAAAGTATGTAGGGCAGGTGTTGTTATTCTAATTTCACCAACAGCAAAATTAAGTTCCAGAAAGTTTAGCTAACTTCTTTAGAGGCAACTAAATAAATTATGGGTAAGCTTGAGATACGAAACCTCAAATTCCTTATGTCTGCTCCAGTTTTTTCAATTATTCCATGTTGCTTTTCAGCAAGGCTTAAATAAAACAGCCAAAGCAAGTCTCAGCCCTTTCAGCAGGGCAGAAGTCAAGAGCTGGCCTGGATTTACAATGAGTAGCCAGGCACTGGGAGGCTGCAGGTGCTGCTTCCAGCTGCTTGGATGGCAAGGCAAGGCTGCCTGGCTCAGCAGGGATGAGGCTCTCTAGGAGCTTACTGCTTATGAGGCTGTGAGAGGGCAGCGCAAATGAGGGAGGTGGGGCAGTATGTGAGCATGTGTAGGTGCACTTGTGCACACACATGCCTAGGCACGGGGCAGGAGGAGTTGTTCTTACCACCAAGGATAGGTGGATGACAGGTGGCTGGGTGGACAAGCGAATGGGTGAGTGGTGCAGATTTTCTTGGAGAGCATCTGCAGCTTCATGGACACGTCATCCAGCTTTAACATCTCAGCCTGGGGGTTCTCTCTGGCCACAAGAAATTTGTTGAGGCTCTATAGGGGGCAGCCCAGAGGAGATTCAAAGTTAAAGATGCTTGGAGCAACTCTTAACCAGTGAGGAATGGGGTTGGTGAAAAAAATGTCTCAGAGTTTTTGGCCCACTTGTAGGACAACTGCAGCATGTTTGACAGTATCTTTAGTCTCCATGCTCTCAGCCATATCCTGCCCATTAACATACCTTTTATTGGCTTTCCCTCTCTGTCTTGCTTCTTCAGTCTACACTTTGTTCCCTATGATCATATCCTCAAGAAACATGTGCATTCTGATTCCCTCTTCAGGAATCAAAATTAAGACCATGGTCCAGTTCCCACCTCCACAGAGTACCTCTTACATAGTGGATTCAGTACAGCCAGGTCCCTACTAAGACCAGCAGCTGTGATTTTGTAGGCTGGGCTTTGCCCCTTTGGACCATTGGCCCAGGAGACTGAATCTGGCAGCAGTCATGAGAGTGTTCTTCAGATTGGAAGCATCTAGCCTCCTGTAATCCCAGGAAGGCCCTGCAGCAGGACAGCATAGGTAAAGAATAGAGAACAGGACTCAGTGTCTTTAAAAACAATGCCAAGTTGAAGAAGCTCGGAGTTTTCCTGTGCACTACAGAGACTTCTGAGCAAGTGCGGGCCTGACTCCTCATCACCTCTCAGCCAGTCAAACCCTGTCCTTGGGTTCACTCTGGGATCACTTGCATTGGGCAGTCTGGACTGACTTGTTCTCCAAGCAGCTCTTGCTGAAGCTGCAGGAGAGCCTGCTAAAACATGGGAGGGTGGTGGGAGAATTCCGTGGAGTGGAATCAGACTCCTGGATGTTGTGTTCTTATCAGTTCTCCTGGGTTCCAGCAGGCTGCAGATTGGAATTGCAACAAGCAGACACATGAGAGCCAATGTGTGCTTCTAACATTTCATAACCTGCCTCCCACAAAACAGAAGGCTCCCTTCCCCTCACATTCTTCCCTGCCTTGTTTTTGACATTTTTAACGTGGTGAGTATACAGCCGACTTTGCATTTCCGACACCTCCCACTTGAATTGGCTCCTGATCCCTCCAGGCCTGAGAAGCCCAGTTGTGTGTTCTACCCAGAGAATATCTGGGCTCTCTTCCAAGCAGGCTACTCTCCTCCTGCCTTGACCTTTAGTGCTGCCATTTCTTTTTCTCCTCTGTTCTAATAAATCAGCATCAGTCAAGATTCACTGCTTCCTGAGCAGAGTTGGAGAAGCTGGTGCTAGGCTGGGAAACTTTTCCTGTATGCATTGGGTGAAAAGCAAGCACCACCCTTCTGTTACTGCTCCTTGGCTTTGTAGCAGTGTGAAGGAAACTAGAGCTGGAGCCCAGCCTCTGTTCCCAGGCCTCTTATGGAACCTGCACAAAGCTGAGCATGGGGTTAGTTTTTCTGCTTAAACCAGAAAAAGCAATGATGTCCCTTTTCTGGGTCCTTCCTTGTTTGTGTCCTACACCTGAGTTACTGGTTCAGTTCAAATGGTGTGGAACGGGGCAATAAGTAGCAG